CATGTCTTTCTAGGTTTGGGCAATAGATTGCCTGTCAGTCTAGGTAATGTTTGATGTTTGTGGTTTGGTGTTTTAAGTTTTTTTTTTCCTTTTTTTTTGCAGTGTAGGATCAAACTTAAAGCCTTGTGAATGCTAGGCAAGTGGTCTACCACTGATCTATACCCCCAGTCCTTTTCTAGTACATTTTCATATTTATTTAGAGTGAAGTTAGAAGAGGCACTGTTAGGGGCTGTTAGTCATATGTCTTTTCCTTTTTAGATTATTGAAATGCTCTAAGTGTCTCTTTTTCGTTCAAACTCTTATTTGTAGTCTACTCCATCTCTCAAATGTGTTACAGCTTGGTTTGTGTCTCCTGAAGCTTCATTCACTTGTGCCAAGTCTTTATGCATCTGTCTAAATACTCTATGTGATAAATAATGCAGTTTGTCTCTTTCAAATGTCTTTCAGGGCTAAGCTCAGGCTTTTGCTGCAATCTTTTTGACACTCCAGACAATAGAGATGACATATCTTGATTAATATGCAAATCACCTGGAGTAATCACCTACCAGTAAGGGAGGGATTGCAGCATTTACTTGTATGACAAATGTAGTTCTGAGTGTAACCACTAAATCTGAATACATTCCTTCCCCATGAAAACATGAAGAGCCCTGTGTCTTTGCTACCCTTGCTTTGGCATTCAGTACTTGGGACATTCTGGTGAGTTCAGATCTTGGTTCTGTGTCCTACCTATATGTTGACCAAATAAGAATTAGGTAACAAGATATTAAAAAAAAATGTGGAGGAACGATTACCAAGTGGATAAAGTTATAGACTCTGCAGTCAGACAGCTTGGATTTAAGTTTCTGGTGTGTTCCCTGCCATTGTGTAACTTTGGGTGAATCACTGACATTCTAGTTGCCATTTTAAAATCTGTCTCACTCCTTTTTTTTTTTTCTCTTGTTAGCATATTGGGGATTGAATATAGGACTTTGCACATGCTGGGTAAGCACTCTACCACTAAGCTACATCCCAGCCCTTTTAATTTTAATTCATTTCTTTAATCTTTAAATTTTTATTTATTTTATTTTATTTTTGGAGACAGAGTATTACTATGTATTTCAGACTGGCCTTGGACTCACCATATAGTCCAGGCTGGTCTCAGACTCACAGCGATCCTTCTGCATCAGCCTCCCAAGTGCTGGGATTACAGATGTGTGCCACTACGCCCGGCTTTTTACTTCATTCTTGAATTGTGTTTAATTAAACAAATTTTACAAATGCTTTCTAGAAAAAGACAAGTTATTAAGCAGGGGAAACTAACTTCTATATATTTTGTATTTGGTCACCTTTGTGAGTTTTTTTTTTTAAATATTTTTTGTTTTGTTTTGCTTTTGCAGTAGTGGGGCTTGAGTCCAAGGCCTTACACTTACCTATATCCCTAGCCCTTTTCGTATTTTTTTCTGAGATAAGATCTTGCTAACTGCCCATGCTAGACTTGAATTATGATCTTTCTGCCTCAGCCTCTGGAGTAGTTGGCACTACAGGCATGTGCCACCATGCCTGGTTTCAATGGTTTTTAATAGAAAAAGAGTGGTCACCATCTAAAAATAAACACTGTTTTGTATTTGGGTGTATTTCCATCTAGTCCTTTCTTCTTTGCAAATATAACTTAAAATTCACACCCACAAATAAGAATTTTCCCGGGTTAGACATTCCGTTTAATTGCGTAGACTTCCTTTTTACTTATAATTATATTGTAAATATTTTCCATGTCTTCAAAAACAACCTTATGAAAAGATAACTTACTATTATATCTCCTGAATGTAGTATTTATTTACTGGTCTGTAATTTTTTCATTTTATAAATGTTACTGCATTAGTTTTTGTTCTTATATGATTTTCTTACTGTAGAGCATAATAAGTAGGCAATTATACAAAGGGAAAGATATTTTTTGCTTTTTGAGAGAAGGTCTGGCTATGTAGTTCAGGATGGCCTTGAACTCACTGTGTAGCCAGGCTGGCCACGAACCTCCTCTGATCCTCCTGCCTCAGCCTCTCGACATTTTAAGGCTTCTGAATCATAGTAGTAAATTTCTATATAGGCTTATATACCTTCTGACAATACTAGTTACCTTGTTCAGCCCCTTTTATTATTGGAATACAGGGTTTGGGATGTAGCTCAGTGGTAGAGTGCTTGCCTAACATGCACAAAGCCCAGGGTTCTGTCCTCAACCTAACTAAGTAACTCACTCACTCAATTTTTTAAATTATGCATTTTGTCTCTTGACAAATGTCTTTGGTTTCTAAATAACAAGATCAGCTGGGCATGGTGATGTATACCTGTAGCACAGTATTTTGGAGCTCAGTGCAGCACTGAGAGTTTGAGGCCAGTCTGGGCTACATAGACCTTATCTCAAAAAACAACAGAAAAGTATGTGTCAGTGCCCCTCAGTCCCTTACTCTTGAATACATTTGCAAAGTAATTTATTTTCAAGGATACATTGGGAGGAGTATTGTATATAAATATTACAAAAGTTTTACAATATTAACCGTTTCATTGAGATACAGGGGAAACCTTTTTCCAATGTACCGGGAGCTGTTGACAAAAAGTGTGTTCAAATTATATGATAAATGTGTCTGTAAATATGTGCATGTATCTACATATTGAATCTTATGTGATTTAATTCAGCATCTGTTCAGAATGATCACCTTATCTGCAGTAGTCTCCTATCCTATCCCAGTTCCTGCTCTCTTACGTATCATCTGTGCATATATTTCTGCATGGTCTGTCTACACTAGACCATTTTCTTGTAATCTTTTTGTCAGTTTGGTCTCTTGGTCATACTGGCCTCACAATGAATTAGGAAGTGTTCCCTTTTCTTGCATTTTTTAGGAAGAGTTTGCAAAGCCTTTGCAGACATAAAAGAGTAGAAACTATGCCATTGCTTCAATGTATTTGAAGGTAAAAATGACACAAAATGAATATATAGTATCAGAAAATAGCCCAGTGCATGGAGTGGGCTTTTCAGGACCTGTAATGACCTAGGTGGTAATGATACGGTGTTCTTGCCTTCGGACAAATTATTGAGTTGTACACTTACGACCCGTCTCCATGTGTATATTATACGAGTAAAAAGCAGTGCGTGCTGAGGGTGATGCAGGAGTGGTTTGACCTGGCTGTAGCTACTGAGAGTACATTTTCTTTAGTGAATTTGGAAATAATTATAAGGTCAGCCAAAAGTTACAAAATGGTATATCTTCTGTGCTTTATTATGTCTTAAAGATTTCATCATTAGTATCTGGTTGGAGTTAAGAAGAGAAGAAATGTTTTGTCTCCTAAAACATCAAAATGGAAAGCAGTTTATATTCATTTGTTTATTTTTGCGGTACTGGAGATTGAATGCTGGTCTTTGTGCATGCTAGGCAAGCACTCTCACTAATTTACATCTCCAGCCCTTTATTTTATTTTATTTATTTCATTTCATTTCACTTCATTTCTTCTATTTTATTTTATTTTATTTTATTTTATTTTATTTTATTTTGAGAGAGGGTCTAAGTTGCCCAGGCTGGCCTTGAATTTCTGATCCTCCTGCCTCAGCCTCCCAAATAGCTGGGGTTACAGGCCTGTGCCATCACACCTGGCAAGTTTGTGTTCATTATACTTACGGAGTATTTTTACGTCATCAATTAGATTGAATTTCACAATCTTGTATTAGTTGTACTGGACAAGATGGCAGGGTCTAATTTGAGTTGGGAAATATATGGAGAGATAACTTTTAATCTAGAGGAGAGATTGGGCTTGAATCAATTTGATTAATGAATTGTTTTTACCCACTTGGGGGGACAACTCTAAGCTTCCCCTATGCAATTCCAGGAGAAGAAATAAAAGAACAGAGACTATATTGGGAAACAGTATCATGACAGGGGAAAAGAATCCTATGAACTGCTGTGCTCTCCCCTGGCTAACCATGTGCAGATTTGTTATAACCAGTGGGTTAAACTGCTTCAAGTTTAAAATGTTGCAGGTAACTTCCATTCCTCTGCTGCGGGGTTTTCAGGTGGAGGAGTTCCAGAGACTTAACAGTTTGGCCTGTCTTTTTATCCAGTGGGAAGCACCAGTTGCAGTAAGAAGGGGAGAAGAAACTGAGCTTGTGTAGCTCGAAACTCTTCTACACATCTCTCTTCCTGAGCAGGCTGTCCTTGGTGTTCACATGAGCTGTACTTGCAAAACATTTCTTACCTCTCATGGAGGGTGCAGGTCAATACATGAGTTAAGCCATTAGGCAAATAAATTTAACTTAGAGGTAAAGTGATTGCAAAGTTTACTTGGCTGTTGATTCAAGATTCCACTTTACGTGCACTGATTCCATGTTGATATTTGGAGCTCCATCTTTTCTCACTTCAGGGTCTTCTTTTCTCACTTGTTTTTTTGTTTGTTTATTTTAGTTTTTTAAGACAGGGTCTCACTGTATAGTTCAGGCTGGCCTTCAACACACTATGTAGCCCAGGCTGGCCTTGAACTCGCAGCAATCCCCCTGCCTCAGCTTCCTGGCTTTCTCACTTGTTTTTAGAACTCAGAAAGGATATAAAAGAGTGATGCCGGTAGTTTTATTTAGGCTTGATTATTGCAAGCATTGTACTGTTTAGCAGTGGTTTTGTTTTGATTTGTTTTTTGTAACCTAATCTGAAAGTGAGCATTTTACAAGCCATTTACATTCATAGTCATAACTGATATATGTTTGGCTGCTATTTCATCAGTTTCATCTGTACTTTTACGTGCCACTTAATACATTTAAAGTATGTAGTCATTTATGTTTAAAGTCTATTTGATGGCATATTTGTCTTGCTAACTAATTAATTCTGTGCCAGACTAAGAATATAGCTCAGCAGCACAGCTCCTGCCTGGCAAGCACAAGGTCCTGAATTCAATTCCTGGTACCAAAAAAAAAAAAAAGGAATTAATTATGTGTGTGGTTTTACACTGCTATGGCCTTAGCCACTTACATGAGTAATATTTTACAGGTGCTGTTCCAGAATTAAAAGAAGAGAAATCACAGCCACAAGCAAAGCCACATTCTGGACCTGTGGAAGAAACATTTAGAATTGTTAAAGATGCTCTCAGTGATGATGTTGTAAAAGCCACGCAAGCCATCTATCAGTTTGAATTGTCAGGTAAAACTTGTGTCTGATAATCTGGGGCTTTTAAGAAACAAAGCAGGATGTGGCTTTTTGAAGAAAATCAGACTCTGGTAGTGAGCACTTGGATAGCTGGCTGTATCCAGGACTCTTGGAAGTAGACATTTGAGAATAGCAGATAACTACTGATGTGAAGTTAAGATTGGTGCATATGAACAGGAGTATAATACAATTACACTATAGGACTTCTGGTGTGAAATAACTTCTTAGAGCCAGGTATAGGGGTACATCCCTGTAATTTTAGCACTCTGGGAGGCTAAGGCAGAAGGATCACAAGTTTGAGTGTGGCCAGGGCAACCTAGTGAGATCCTGACTCAAAAATTTAAAAAAATTTTAAAAAAGAAAGGTCGGGCAGTACTCCAAAATGTTTTGAAGGACATTCTAGAAAGAGATAACAAGGGCTACCACTCCATGAACCCCAACAGAAGGAATCCACCAGGCGAGGCAAGGCAGAGGGAAGGGGAAAAAGAGGGGGAGCTAGTAACAGGAAAATAACATGACAAGGATAAATCAGTAAATTTCGGTGATAACCGCCAATGTTAATGGTCTCAATTCACCAGTCAAAAGACACAGACTGGCAGAATGGAATGAGAAGCAAGATCCAATAATATACTCACATAAGAAACATGTTTAATTCAAAAAGAAATTCATAGATTCAAAGTCAAAAGATGGAAAATAATACTCCATGCAACAGGAACCCAGAAAAACCAGGGGTAGCTATTCTATTTGCAGACAAAGTGAATTTCAATCCAAGACTGATTAAGAGAGATAAATTCACTACATTCTTGTAAAGGGAACAATCCAAGAGGAAGAGATAACAATCATAAATATATATGCAACAAATACCAGTACACTCAACTATATAAAACAAATATTAGTGGACATGAAAAATCAAATAAGCACTAGTACAGTGGTACTGGGGGATCTCAATACCCCACTGTCACAAAAAATAGATTAACTAGACAAACAGTCAACAATGAAATATTAGAACTGAACCAAACTGTTGAACAAATGGACTTAGTAGATGTCTACAGAGTATTTCATCAGAGTACACATTCTTCTTAGCTGCACTGGGGATGTTCTCTAAAATAGAACACATACTAGCTCATAGAACATACTTAAGTAAATACAAAGGAATTGAAATTATCCCATGCATATTATCGGACCATAGTGCAATGAAATTGGAAATCAGTGGCTAAAGAAACCACAAGAACTTCATTAACACATGGAAATTAAATAGTACCCTCCTGAACAACCAATGGGTCACAGATGAAATTAGAGAAGAAATTATACAGTTTCTGCAATTAAACGATGATGACAATACAGCATACCAGAACGTATGGGATACAATGAAAGCAGTCCTAAGAGGGAAATTTATAGCAGTGAATAATCATATTAGGAAAACAGAGCAAGAGCAAATATTGGTGAACCTCAGACTTCTAGAAAAAGAAGAGCAGGCTAAGCCAAAAGCTTGTATGAGGGAAGAAATTATAAAGATCAGGGCAGAAATTAATGCATTGGAGACTAAAAAAGTTATAAAGAATGAATAAATGGAAGAGTGGGTTCTTCGAAAGATTAAATAAAATCCATAAACCATATCCAACCTTATCAAAAAAAAAGGAGAGAATGAAAAGGGTAAAATCAGAATGGACCCTGCAGAAATCCAGATCACCTATACCTGTTTAGGAAACTTGTATGATGGAAAATACAGAAGAAATAGACAGATTCCTAGATATATACAAATTACCAAAGCCAAATCAAAAAGATATAAAAATCCTAAATAAACCAACATCAGTCATTGAAATCAAAGATGTTGTTAAAAACCTACCAACAAAGAGAAGTCCAGGCCCTGAGGATTTCACTGCTGAATTTTATAAGAAATTTAGAGAATAACTAACACCACTACTTCTCAAACTCTGTAATGAAATTGAAAGGGAAGCAATACTCCCAAATTCATTCCTGGAAGCAAGCATTACCCTGATAACGAAACCAAAGAAAGATACAACTAAGAAAGAGAACTACAGACCAATCTCCCTAATGTTAATTTTTTTTTTTTTTTCTTTTCTGACTTTTTTTTCCGGTACCAGGAATCACACTCATGACATTGTGCGTGCCAGGCAAGCGCTGTGCCACTGAGCTAAATCCCCAGCCCCCAATCTCCCTAATGAACATAGATGCAAAAATCCTCAATAGTATACTGGTACACAGAATGCAGCAAAT